ATATATTTTTTTTTTTCTTATGACGATGTACTTATGTACGTATATATGTATACATGTATATAGGAGTCTCCGATAAAAGACAAAGCTAATTGTAACAACAGTAGAGAGAGAGATTCCTCAAATCATTTTGAAACAAAAATTCTAATGCCAAAATATCGAGGCTATAACAGTTTTTGAATTATAAGCATTTAAGGCTCCTGAGTAGCCATTACAACTATATTGAGTCATAACGTCAGAAGCGAGAAATGATAATTTTTATTACGTGTCATTTATAAATAAAGACAATTTAGATAAAATAATGAGATTGTTTTAAAACATTTGTAAAAATGGACGAAAACTATGTTTATCCCCCTTGACAGTCAATAAATAATCGTAAAGTGATAAAAAGCACACTAAGTGCTTTTATTCAATGTGCATGCGGAGTTTATTTTCACTTACACGTACCTTTTATCACTTTTCACGATTATTTACTGACTGTCGAAGGGGATAAGCATAGTTCTCATCCATTTTTATAAATGTTTTAAAGCAATCTCATCATTTTGTTTTATCCAAATTGTCTTTATTTATAAATGGCATGTAAAATTAACGTGTTATTTCTCGCTTCTGTCACGATTCAATATGACTATGGTGACTACTAAGGAGCCTTAAGATTAGCAAATCATATTGCCTTGCACAAGGAAAGATTCAGTATCAATTTCACGAAACAAACCGGTATTCATAGTCGATTAAAGGGATGCTGGAGCGACGGCGAATTTGATCAATGTCGATAAAACAGATTTTTAATTCCAAATAAAATATTATGTACATCAAGAAAACGTACATACATTAATTAAAATGTTACATACATTAAGCTAAATCATTAAGTAAAATGTTACGTACTTTTCTTGCTCTGCTATATCCTATATATGACTTGAATGTGAGGTTATATACACTCAAATCGTACTTCTCAATTTTCTTTTGTGAACTTCAGAATCATAATTTAAAGGTTCGCATGATTCTTTTATAAATTATTCAAATACGGAAAAGTACTTTTTATTTGGATATATGCTTGCATTCATTTATATATATGTGAAGAAAGAACCAACATGATTACAGAAAACTGTAATTACAATTTTTATAATTTTTTTTGTAAATTTTCATACCGGTTTGGACTTTTCCGAAGGTATTTGCCTTTTTTCTTTTATTCTGGAGAAGGATTTTTCATTCTGTGTAAGAAAAATGATATTATTTGAGAAATACGAAATAACGTTCCGCTGATAAATTCCAGCATCTCCTTAAGACGTTTAAGTTTTAAAATAAAAACGGTCCTATGTTTAGCGTTTTACAGTTGGTAACTTCCTCCTATGAACAGTCCATAAACGGAGAGAGCAGATTTAAAAAGAGACACTAATTGCATATAAAGGGTGTCCCAAAATTAACGCAAGATTTGAATTTGCCGCCATTTGTGCAGTAAAGTGTTGGCAACCCAAAAAAAAAACAATTTAACAGCTGACAGTTTAGGGTTAGTGAAAATGGAGCGTTACACGATAGAACAACGTGTGTTCATTATTCAACAAATGGATGCTGATTTTTCGAGCAAAATCATCCTAAGCGATGAAGCACATTTTCACCTTGATGGCTTTGTTAATCGCCAAAATTGCCGCTTTTGGGGTACGGAGAACCCACATGTGATTGTCGAAAAACAAATGCATCCACAACGTGTCACTGTTTGGTGTGGATTTTGGGCTGGAGGCATCATTGGACCATACTTTTTTGAAAATGAGGCTGGTCAAGCAGTGACTGTTACTGGTGCTCGATATCGCTACATGATAACACAGTTCTTTCTGCCGAAATTGGATGATATTGATGTGGCCAATATGTGGTTTCAACAAGACGGTGCCACATGCCATACAGCTCGTGAAACAATTCAGTTACTGCATGAGACGTTTCCAGGTCGTGTACTCTCTCGTTTAGGTGATCAGAATTGGCCCCCTAGATCGTGTGATTTAACACCATTAGATTTCTTTTTATGGGGTTATTTGAAATCACAGGTCTATGTCAACAAGCCCACAACCACCCGTGCATTAAAGGAGGAGATTCAACGCTGCATCAACGAAATTCAGCCACATTTATGCAAAATGGTCATGGAAAATTTCGACAAACGAGTGCGTATGTGCATGCAAAGCCGTGGAGGCCATTTGCCCGATGTGTTATTCCACACATAACCCTATCCTATGTACTTTATGATTCAATACAAAAATAACAATCAAAAGACTAAAAACTGTGTTTTCTATTTAATTCAAATCTTGCGTTAATTTTGGGACACTCTTTACCATGTTATCCCTTCCATTATGGGTAAGTGCCAACGCAAAATGCCAACCACACTTAAATGCACTGACTTTATACGATACTATTCGTTAACTTTAAATGCTTATTTAATTTAAAAAAATATTACTAGGTGCGCAACTAAGTTTCCGGGTTTCACACATGGATGGCGCTAACGACACATGTAGTCGACATACATGTCTGAAGTTGTGTTTTTTTTATAGCTTGGACATCTGTTAACAATAACCAGTCGTAATACCAACACATATCGCAACGCAAAAATATTTTTTCTAACAACGAAGATGTCGAATTTTGTGCCAAATAAACAGCATTTGCGGGAAGCTTTGCTTTTCTGCTTTAACTTGAAAAAAAATGCAGCTGAAGCACGTCGTTTGCTTGAGGAGGCTTACGGCGAACATGCCATCGAAAACTATCTGTGAAGATTGGTTTAAACGCTTCAGAAGTGGCGATTTCGACACTGTGGACAAGGAGCGCTCCGGAAGACCAAAAACAATTGAGGACGCCGATCTGCAAACGTTATTGGATGAAGATGATACGCAAACACAAGATCAACTTGCGGATTAAACATGACTCGCCAAGGTATTTCCAAACGTTTACATGCCATGGGAAAAATTCAAAAGGAAGAAAAATAGGTGCCGTATGAGTTGACTGAAAAACAGATGGAAAATCGAAGAGCCACTTCCGAAATTTTGCTTTTGCGGCGTGAAAGAAAGAGTTTTTTGCATCGAATTGTTACTGGCGATGAGAATATATTTCGAGAATCCCAAACGCAAAAAATCGTGGCTTTCACCTGGCGAAGCATCAACATTGACGGCACGGTCAAATCGCTTCGGAAAGAAGACAATGCTCTGCGTTTGGTGGGACCAGAAAGGAATCGTGTACTATGAGCTGCTGAAAACGGGCGAAACTGTCAATGGGCATCGCTACCGACAACAACTGATCAATTTGAACCATGCATTGCTCGAAAAACGGCCAGAATGGGACACAAGACACGAACGAGTGATATTGCAGCACGACAACGCTCCGTGCCATCGCACTTCCATCGTCCAGGACACCATTAAAACGCTGAAATTGGATCTGCTACCGCACCCGCCGTATTCGCTAGACCTGGCCTCTTCCGATTATCACTTGTTCCAGTCGATGGCGCATGGCTTGGCTGGGCTACACTTGGCCAATTTCGAAGAAGTGCAAAATTGGTTGGACGTACGTGTATACACACGCGAATATGTATATGCATGTACGTAGATAATAATACAAACAGATATTTGTTTGTAGGTAACGTTTATGAAACACGAACTCACGATCCTATATCGCGTGTAACGTCGTAATAAGGGGATGTTATTACTTCTATTGCATTTCCCGCTTTCTAAGATAAGCTTGTACTATCGCACACCTCGGTCCTGTTCCGTCGTGCGTAAGCCGGAGGATTTGCGTGTGTCGAATACGCAAATCCGCGCCAGACGGCGGAATTCGACGTGACGTTTCGGAGAACTAGTTCTCGGATGGAACAATCGTGTAACTATGCAACTGTGCGACTATAACAGGATTGAGTACAATAGAAAGCGAATAATCACATACAGATAAATACTTGGTGCAAAATAATGAGAGTTAAATTGATACGAGCGTATCAATCGGATCCCGTGCAATACATGTAAATTTGTAGCAACATTACTCCAACGTTTGTAATGTTACTATAATATTATTAGAACGTTGTAAAATTCCTGAATAAACTGCTTGTACGGGGCAGTTTGTTATTTATATATAGGAAGAGAATTCATTAATTCAAAACAATCCGAAAATAATTTTTTTCGAGGTGTTGAAATACCCTAATAAAAAACCCCTATAGGTTCGAGGGAGAGATGTCAAACGACGTGCGAAGCGATAGCACAACGTGTGTTGTGTTCATGAAACGTGTGTGTTCTGCTGGTTACAAGGCGTTAGAGAGGGTGCGAGGACTCGGTACGGCCGGCCGGCCATCGCTCTTCGCGATGAAGGGGGATGTATCTTATCCCGACGGCGGATCGTATTGTCTGCGGACGAGATGTATGTACGACGAACATCGCGGAAACGCAATACAAGACAGGCTAAGCACGTAAAAGCTCGATTCTCCGGGCGCCCGTTTCTCTCGGGTTTCACCTCTCATTTCCCCCTCTTCCGTCCTTTCGGTCCAAAGATGCGTCGTTTTATCCGAGGTACTCATGTATTGCCAGAGAGATGGCAAAAATGTGTAGCTAGCGAGGGACGATACTTTGAATAAACCATTTTTTGTATTTCTCTTGAAATTTTCCATTTTTCATTGATAAAAAAAACCCGGAAACTTAGTTGCGCACCTAGTATAGTCTCGATATTTTTAGTCTCGGTATTAGAATGTTTGCCTCAAAATGATTCAGAAATTTATCTTTAAGCCAATATTACATGCATTCGTTTTTTGTCGTACGACGAATTTTTCAAATTGGCTGTAAGACAGAGAGAATCTCGGATCTCTTTGTCTTACAGCCAATTAACAGACTGGAAAAATTTGTCATACAATAAAAAATGGACGCATATAATATTAATCAAGCGTTGTTACCAGACACTCTGTGTGTGTGTGTATGCGCGCGCGCGTGCGCGCGTGTGCATGTATGTGCGTGTGGATGCATGTATATACGTATGTGTGATTATGCAGCAATTATATATTTTACAATTTTGATAACAGAAATTTCTTTTGCATCTCACTATTTGACACTGATGTTACTAGTCACTTTTTTAGTACGTTATTTGCCTCAGCACGTTCTTCTTCTAATTCCTTAGATGTAATATCCAGTTTTGACTTTGCAAAGTTGCTAATTGGAAGATTCTGAAAATAAATCATAAGATGGATTTTTTTCTGTTCTTTTTTAAAATTTTTCTAAATATGGTGAAATGCTGCATTTGCTTTTAATAATTTTGATTTTGATCAATTTAATTTTATCAATTTAATTTTTAATAATTATTAAAAAAACATTGCTAATTATAAAAGTACAAATCATTAAATCACTATGTTAACATATAAAAGTATCTCACATATAGAGTACTCCAAAATTATGAAAAGAGTCTACATTTCTATCATATATTGGGTGGATCCATATATTCGTTCGCTTTTTGTTAGTAGTGCAAATTTTTTCCGAATATCTCCGGTTCTGGTTGCCTAATCGGGCAATCCAAATATGTTTTGGAAAGGTGACAGTCCGCTCTTTTCATCTGTCAAATTTGGTTTCATTGGCATTAGTTTTGTTTGTGCTATAGACCTGTGAACATGTCGGAGAATAAGGTGCATTTTCGGCACATTTTGCTTTATTACTTCAAGAAAGGCAAGCGAGCTGCGGAGGCCCACCGAAAGATATGCAGCGTATACGGGGACGATGCCTTAACAAAACGTGCCGCTCAGAAATGGTTTGCCAAATTTCGTTCCGGAGATACGAGTCTTGAAGATGGACCCCGCAGCGGTCGGCCCACCGAGGTTGATTCGAATGATATCAAGGCACTGGTTGAGCAAGACCGGACGCTAAAGGTGCGAGAGATTGCGGAGACACTTAAAATAGGTTATGGAACCGTACAAAGGCATTTGCAACAGCTTGGCTACGTGTCCCGCCTCGATGTTTGGGTGCCGCACAAGCTGACCGAGGAGAACCTGGCCAACCGCATATCCATCTGCAATTCACTTCTGAAGCGGCACGAAAGCGACCCGTTTCTCAAACGAATAGTGACTGGCGACGAAAAGTGGATCATCTATGACAACATAGTGCGCAAGAGATCGTGGGGAACCGCTGGCGAGCCGCCGAATGCCACCCCGAAGGCCGGCCTGCATCCGAAGAAGATTTTGCTATCCATATGGTGGGATCATCGTGGTGTGCTGTTTTACGAGCTGCTTCCTCAGGGAAAAACGATCGATTCGAAGATCTACTGCACGCAGCTAACGAAATTGAATCAAGCATTGCGACAGAAACGTCCAGAACTGATCAATCGCAAAGGTGTCATATTCCACCATGACAACGCCAGACCCCACACCGCAATAATCACTCAGCAAAAATTAGTGCAACTTGGCTGGGATGTTTTGCCTCACCCACCGTATTCACCAGACCTTGCGCCATCCGACTATCACTTGTTCCGGTCCCTGCAAAACTCCCTCAACGGGAAATCGTTCGCTGATCAGACAGCTGTGAAAACGTACCTCGACCGGTTTTTCGCCTCTAAGCCCCAGACCTTCTATGAGAGCGGAATAATGAAATTGTTGGAAAGATGGCAAGAGGTCATCAACAAAAACGGAGAATATATTATTGATTAAAATTCATCCTTTGTATGAAAAAAACTTGTTTCATTTTAGCCTTCAAAAAGCGAACGAATATATGGATCCACCCAATATTTAAGTTGAAATTACTTCAAGATGTACATTTTATATGATAACTTACTTGTACTATTTCATATTGCTTGTTCTTGATAATGACAGGAAAGGAAAATACAATATCTTTTGGAATTCCATAACTTCCATCAGATACAACACCCATGCTAACCCATTCTCCAGGTTTAGTACCAAACCACCAATCTCTCATATGATCTCCAGCGGCTTTAGCAGCAGACATGGCAGAAGACATTTTTCTAGCCGCTATTACAGCAGCGCCGCGTTTTTGAATTGTTTCGATGAAAGTGTTATTCAACCACTCATCATCATTTATCTCAGATGGTACTGTTTTTAAGCCAGATAAAAGCGTTACAGTTGCATGTGCTGCATCAGGATATTGCGTGGAACTGTGATTACCCCAAATAATGACATTCTTCACTTTATCCACCTGTATCAACGAGATTATAGAATACAGAATAGGAATATTCAAAACAGTACATATAATGTTACAACAATCTAAGTATAGTCTTACGTTTTATATTGCGAATATAAAAACATTTTAAATAAAAAAAATATCAATTCTCCATAATAAAGTCAAATTTCATGTTTTGTCAAAAACATGTTTTAAGCATGGTAATACATGTTACCTGTACATTTAATCGCGCAGCTAATACTGCCTGTGCTCTGTTTTGATCCAATCTAGTCATCGCTGTAAAATTTTCTTTCGGAATAGACGGTGCATAATGTGAACAGATAAGCGCGTTAGTGTTGGCAGGATTACCTACGACTAACACTTTGACATCCTTACGAGCATATTTATCCAATGCTTCGCCTTGCACCTTGAAAATTTCTATATTTGCGGCCAAAAGATCTTTACGTTCCATTCCTTCTTTTCTTGGCATTGCACCAACCAGAAAAGCAGCTGCTATATTATTAAAGGCCTTGGCTGGTTCAGCCGTTGGCAAAACCTCTAAAAATTTAAATTAAGCTATTTACAGCTAGATAAACTATTAATAAGTAAAAATTAGAATATAAATATAGCAATTTAATGTTATACAGTATATTCTATACTATACTATACAAGATGTTCCCGGGTTAAACCGCTAAACTTAAAATATAAATTCAGGACCTCAAAACAAACAAAAGTTTTCCTCTGGACATATGCTCGCAAACGCTTCGTTCAAGAGATACTTCTGAAGTTATACAGACTATAGGAATGAATAATTGAAATATCTCTTGTTTTTATTTTGAAGTTTGAAAGTCATTGATAGGCTTTTGTTTGCAAAGCTCATAGTTGTAGCTCATAGTTCGTACTATTAATTCTTTTGTCGAAATATTTTTGTCGAATAAACTTATAATCATGCCTTGTACGTTCTAATAGTGAATATGTCGATATGGTATATTTATATGGTATATTTGTGACTGCTGTATATTTGTGAAATGCTAACGCTGCTCGCCGTGAATACGCCGCGCGATTTCCAAATAGAAGATTGCCGGATAAATCAATATTCTCTTTAACATTTCAACGACTGAAAGAAACTGCGTAATTTAATATGGTTCCCCGGACTGATTTTTGCACCGCTGCAAAATGAAAGAACAGCCATTATATTGCAGCATTTCGATCAAAATCCATCAACAAGTATCTGAAGATCTGATTCTGCGTTAGGAATTTCGCCCACATTTCATATAGGAAACAGCCAATAAACGTCATCAATACTTTTTTCAATAATGTTCAGTATTTATTATTGGCTGATGTGCCACGCAAAAGATTTTGCGATTGGTTTTTTAAACCAAACAGATAACGATCCATAATTTTCACAAAATATTTTATGAGACCATATTTACCTTGCCTTAGATTTTTTTCAATCAAGAAATAGTCATGTTTGGTCGTATGAGAATTGTCGAGCAATCCACGAACAACATTTTCAACACGGTTTTCAATGTAATGTATGTTTAGGAATAATAGGCAATATTTTAATTGGACCCTATTTTCTACCAGCTCGCTTGAATGCGAATGGATTTCTCACATTTTTAAACAATTTTTAACTTTACGACCTTTTGGGAAACATTCCTTTGAATATGAGAATAAATTCCTGGTTTCATTTGGACGATTGTCCTACTTACTATGGCAGAGGTCTTTGACAGTGGCTTAATATTAATTTTCCCGCAAGATGGATCAGTCATACTGGACCTGTGGCTTGGCCTACGCGTTCATCGAATTTAACACCATTAGATTTTTTGGTAGATTTTAGAGTATTCTAAAGCAAAAAGTGTAGTTAATGCAGTACCTGTTAATGACCATCAATCATTAAAACGAAGAATTGTGCAAGCGTGAAATTACAGATGCATAATGTCAGTCAGCCATTCGTTCTTCTTGATAGATGTAATGCATGTTTCCAACTGGAGTCTTTATTTTGAACAAAACATTTAATGACTAAATTTTGATTATTGTAAAGCAATAAAGAAGATATACCTTATTTTGACGTTATTTCGACATTATTCCTAGTTCTGCATAACTTCAGAAGTATAATAAATATCTCTTGAATGAAATATTTAGCATACGTCCAGAAGAAAATTTTTGTTTGTTTTGAGGTCATGAATTCATTTTTATGTTTAGCTTAACCCGAGATCACCCTGTATAAACGTAAATTTTTCAAGGAACATGAATTTATTCTTAACACAAAACTGGCACTGATATTTCGCTATAATTGCCGAAAATGTTGTTATTCGGCAATTTTTTATCCTTATTTGTGGTTATAAATAATTATTTTATTTGTATTTTTTAAATTATTTGTATTATACTCATATATTTTTAATATTCTGTATAATATATTTTGTACAAAAAAGAAAAAAATTGAAATGATTAATGGAGCCAAAACTGCGCTATTGGAGATTCTAACGTTATTGTGTTTTTTTTTTATTAATTTTTCTCACAAGATTTAACAAGAAACTCCCACATCACTTAAAAATATTTTTTTAATACAAATGTAAACCTTAAAGTACTCTGCTACAACATTAAAACTCGATATTAAGTTTCTTATATACAGGAGATATTTGAAATAACGTCCACTAATCATATAGTGCTATTCCTAATAAAAAATTGAGTCGAAAAATCCTCTACCATTTTGTAACTTTTGCAATTTTTTTTTAGTTACTAAATGAGCAAAATGTCTAAAATTAACATATAAGACAATATTAATTAGATATCTTTAAGAATTCTTTACTGATCTTTAGAAATGAATATCTCGTTAACTATTGTGAAAATTGTGAAATAGCAGAGGACTTTTCGATTCAGTTTTTTATTAGGAATAGTATTGTATAATTAGTAGACGTTATTTAAAAATATACTCTGTATATAATTGTCTTGTCACTATTATATAATTCATGTAGATAATGAGCATTTCTTTCTTTTTCATTCACACGCACGCACGCATGCGAGAGAGATATGTTCTCTCCTATACATATGTAAACATTAAAAATATATTAAAATAATATTTGTAGTTAGATATATGTGTGCAGATATATATACATATTCAATATATTCATACAAAATGAATTTTTTAATGTATGATCTTTCAACACCTACCTTGTAAAAGAGGAAGTGCTAAATCTTCTAATTCCATAACCACACCATCTAATACCTTCATCATAGGTGGAATATCTAATAATCTGAGATTAACAGGTTGTTGTGGGCCGAAAACTGTACCAGTTGCAATCTGGTACAGCAAAGAATAAGCAATTTGACCAGCAGCACCAGTAACCACGACATTTATTGGCTCTGTCTAATATAAAATTAAAAAGAGAAAAATTATTCTTGGAACGATTATATAACGCTTTAATAATTATACTAAGGGTACATTCCAAAATCCCCGTTCTCTCAGAGGAAAATTTTACTTGAAATACATAATACATGTAATATATAGAGAAAAGTCCCCTATTAGAAGATAGGCGCCTAATATGAGATAGTGACGTTCCTGCTAAACTAATAAACATTATCTATTCGTTCCACCATGAATTTATTGCTCTTAGACTGAAAACTATTTAATGGAAAATTCATTATTAAATCATGCCTGTTATTTTAAAAAAAGATTTTAGAATTTGGATGTCTTCAAGTTTTATTGAGATGAACCTTTAAATCTTGTTTATTATTCAATAAGTAAATATTTAGCAATAAATTCTTTATGTAGTAATAGAGTAAGATCGTACTAATAGAAAAATACGGGACATGTTGAATTGTTTAATTACAAAAGATTTGATGATTGTATAACTATAAGGCATGGAAATCAATAATACAATATGATTAATAGTCAGGGTATTGTAATATGAAACAACCTATACTTCTATGTCATAGTGAAAATCAATGCTAAAGTATAAATGTTATTGTACAATAATAAAAAAAGACAATCAGAATGAACACATCGAGTGCCTATTTCTGCGATGCTTGGTTCTAATTACTGAAGATAAGTTCTGGGTATAATCTATTGTATGTTCATTTTTTGCGCACACTGGCTATTTGTTTGTATTTTAGAAACATTAAATAAAGTTTTTTAATTGGAATACTGATGTGCTTTGCGTTTTATTATCGATATTCTCAGGGTATCTATTAGGAGCACATTTTTTGACTTTGCGATTTACTCACTTTTTACATTTCTTTAATTAAAAAAAAAATAGTCATGTTTTGTTCGAGCTGCGATCAACATACGTTTTTAACTTGATACTCTTTAGTGATAATAAATTTTTTTTTTGTTTTTGATCCAATGTCGAGACGAATTCCTTCTTGGGATTTTACGACATCAAATTTGTTAATCTAATGATTTTTTCTTGGACATGAAGGGATTGATATTTTTAAATTGTATTGCTGAGGATGGTTCCAAAGTGAACTGAAACATACTATTTTTTGGAATAAAGATTTAAGATTGCATACTATCACTGATTCGTCCTGCTTTTTTGAATTTTTTGTTGTTGAATTTGAATTAAATTTTATATAATAATTATCTTAAAGCTTATTAAATTTCCTTCAAAATGACCTATTATTTTTTAAAATTCTACCTATAGACTTCTAGCATTTATCCAAAATGAACTTGATATTTCATAATAAGGGCCTTTTCTCTACTACAACATATAGAGTAAAATCTTCTTCGGAGAAGACATTTTAGAATATAGTCTAACCATATAACAGTCTTTTCTAATTCAAATTGCATTATATATAATTTGTAATACACTAATCACTAGTATGTCTATATTTTAAAATTATTATATTATCATTTTCAAGGATAGCAAAACATGAAGTTAAATATTTAAATACGATAAAGAAAGCCAAGATCGATCAAATTTTGGATGTTATAAATAATACATTAGATATTCTTTTATTGAATCACTTATTTACAGATAATCCTGGCTGAGGTAATATTTTTCACAATAAATTTCTGTCTTTCTTTCTTTCTTACTTTCTTTCTAATTTAATTTAGGGATTATTAGCATTTCAGAATGATTGTGTTGAAACCGAATGTTATCGGCTCGCAATTATATCTGGAAAAATATAATAAATTGATTCAATAAAAGAATATATAATGTATTATTTGTAACATCCAAAATTTGACTGATCTTGGCTTTCTTTATTATATTTCATATATTCACATATACGGTGCTTAAAATTCTTAATATGTTTAATATTTAAGTTTTTATTAACTTTTAATAT